AAAAAAAAGTGGTCGGGGATGGCGGGCAGGGTGGGGGCAAGAAGAAGAAGAAGAAGAAGAAGAAGAAGAACAAGAACAAGAGAAAGAACAATAATAATAAGAAGAAGAAGAAGAGGAGGAGGAGGAGAAGAGGAAGAAGAAGAAAGAAGAAGAAGAAGGGGAGGAGGAGGAGAGGAGGAGGAAGAAGAATAAGCCTGAATAAGGAGGAGGAGGAGGAGAAGAAGAAGAAGAAGAAGAAGAAGAAGAAGAAGAGGAGGAGGAGGAGAAGAGGAAGAAGAAGAAGAAGAAGAAGAAGAAGAAGAAGAGGAGGAGAAGAGGAGGAGGAAGAAGAATAAACCTCAATAAGGAGAAGAGGAGAAGAAGAAGAAGAAGAAGAAGAAGAAGAAGAAGAAGAAGAAGAAGATGATGAAGATGGGTGGTGGAGGATGGCGGACAGGTGGTAATAAAGGGTGGGCGAGACAAGGAGGCCGAGAGGACGTAGAAGAAGAAGATGAGTATGTTAGGTGGGCGAGAAGAGGGAGACAGTGTAGACCGACCAAAAAAAAAAAAAAAAAAAGTGGTCTGGGATGGCGGGCAAGGGGGGACAAGAAGAAGACCAAGAAGAAGAAGAAGAAGAAGATGAAGAAGAAGAAGAGGAGGAGGAGGAGAAGAAGAAGAAGAAGAAGAAGAAGAAGAAGAAGAAGAAGAAGAAAAAAAAGAAGAAAAAGAAGAAGAAGAGGAGGAGAAGAGGAGGAGAAAGAAGAAGATGAAGAAAAAGATGGGAGGGGGGTGCGAAAGGGTGGGCAAGGAGAAGAAGAAGATGAAGGTGGAAGATGGGCAGGGGGCGAGAAATGGAGGGCGCGAAAGGATGGAGGGCGCGGGCTGAGAAAGGGGCGACAGGTAAGTCCCTCTTCTCCAGTGTTGTTCGACGGACTGGCGGAAGAGGTAAGTCCCTCTTCTCCAGCCGCTCAGTGTCAGATTCCAATGTTGTTCGACGGACTGGGGCGCTCCTGGAGAACAACTTATTCGGTCCAACTGTCCTCAGCCCCAACACTGGTGTGCGTGCTTGCGCTTTTGAGGTAGACGGTGTGTTAGCAGGTGTCGCCCCTTGTGCGGCTTTGAGCCTCTCGATCTCCGCGCGTAACATGCGCATCTCTTCCCTGTGGTGTTCCTGCATCGACAGCAATTCTTGGGTCAACCTTGTCTCCCTATCAGGAGTCGTGTTTGTCTTCTTTGCCGCTTGCCGGTCCTCATCGTCATCGTCGCTCTCAATGGCCTCTTTACCTCGTTTTTTCCGTGCCCGGGCCAGCTCTGCCTCACGTAACAGAAGCAAATCATGGCGGATGTCTTCCACGATGATAGGATTCTTCGCAGTTCCGGCCTTCAGTTCTTCAATGGTCTCCCGAAACATCTTGTTCTGTTCCGCTAACTGTTCGGCGATGACTTGATATCCTTGGTCCTTGTTGGCGAATTTCGATTCAATGATGAGCGTCAGTCTTGCCTCCCGCTCCTCCGCTTTCTTCGTCTTTTCTTGTTCGTGTTTCTCTCGCTCTTCCTTCATTAATCTTATTTCCTCCTCCCTCTTTCTCCTCTCCTCTTCCTCCTTTCTCCGTTCTCTCTCCTCCCGTTTCTCTTGCAGAACCGTTGCGCAGAATTCCCGCATCATCAAAACCGCATCAGCTATATCCTTATTCGATTTGAGATTATGATTATTACTATTACTGTTATTATTATTGGAATAATTATTATTTCGGTACCTATATCCGTTAGTTTCCTGGTCCTGCCTATCCACTGCCTGTATCGCTCCTGGGCCATTGACCGGGACGATCTATCGGTCAGCATTGCTAGCTGATGTGGACGCAGCACTCTGTCCACCCGTCTCCCGAGGTCTCCTCGGTTTGATGCATCCTCGCGACAAATGGCCTGGCTCGCCGCAGTTGTAGCATCTCGGCACTTGGTTCCCATTTGGATCCGCCATTGTATCACGTAACCACCGCCGACAAGTACGATCGCCTGTCTGGTTGCTACGCTCAGTGATGCTAGAACGGTCGTGTGTTAACACGTGTTCTTGCTTGGCTGCTTGTCGAAGGATGGAAGCGATCTATCGACCACTTCCTCTCCCACAGGTATATCAGTCTTCAGTTATACTCGATTGTACTCATAGCTATCTACCATTCACGANAAGGATGGAAGCGATCTATCGACCACTTCCTCTCCCACAGGTATATCAGTCTTCAGTTATACTCGATTGTACTCATAGCTATCTACCATTCACGACATCTATCATGTGCAACTTATCAAGGATGGAAGCGATCTATCGACCACTTCCTCTCCCACAGGTATATCAGTCTTCAGTTATACTCGATTGTAC